CTACCTTCTTGAAACATTTTCTTCAATTAACTTCTGATATTCCATACTTGATTTATTTTATTCTCATCTCCCTGGCTGGAACTTTATGCTTTTCTTGGCAGGATTTTCCTCCTTTTCCTGACTTGTAAATATGGAATGTCCCAGGTCTCAATCCTTAGATCTTATTTCTGTTTACACTTGCTCCCTATGTGGATCTCATCTAGTCATAGCTTTATTTATTTTATTTTTATTTTTTTTTGTGAGGAGATCAGCCCTAAGCTAACATCCATGCCAATCCTCCTCTTTTTGCTGAGGAAGACTAGCCCTGAGCTAACATCTGTGCCCGTCTTCCTTCACTTTATGTGGGATGCCGCCAGAGCATGGCCTGACAAGTGGCGTGTTGGTGCACGCCCGGGATCCGAACCCGGGCCGCCAGGAGTGCAACGCGCACACTTAACTGCTGTGCCATGGGGCCGGCTCCCTGGTCAGAGCTTTAAATATTTATTTAAAATGGCTCCTAGTTTTCGTCTATAGTCCTGACTCTCTGCCCCCTTACTTTAGTACTCTTAATCACTTGACATCTCCAATTGGATGTCTGTTAGGGGAATGAAACTGGATATGCCTAAAACCACTCTTGATTCCCTTCTCACCTCCCTCTCTCTCAGCCTGCTCTTTCCTTAGTGTTTCCTTAGTGATCATAAACATAACATGCATTAAAAATGCATGTGACTGGCCATCCTAGACCTACTGAATCTGAATCTAGGGTATTACCATTCACCTAGTTGCTAAGACAAGAAAACATAAAATCATTCTTGATTTTGCTCTCACACCCCACGTATATATCCATTAGCAAATCTTGTTAGCTTTACTTTCTAAATAAATCCCAAATCTGACCACATTTCACTTCCCTTACTGCTACCATCCTAGTCCAAGCCAACATTTCTCACCTGGACTATTGCAGTACGCTGTTAACTGCTTCTATTCTTAAGTTATTGCAGTCTGTTCTCCAGAGAGCAATCAGATTAATCCCTTTAGAAAGGACGTTGGATTATGCTCCTTCCCTGCTCTCCACTCTCCCATGGCTTTCAATTACACTTTGAATAAAAATCAAAGTCCTTTTCCTGATTTGGTCTCTGACTGCCTTTTTTGATCTCATTTTTCTGCTGCTCTTTTCCATGTGTTCACTGTGCTTTAGTCACTCTCATCTGGCTCTTCTTCATATATGCTGTCACATTCCCATCGTTGGGTCTTGGCTTTTGTTGTTTCCTATGCCTGGAATGCTGTCCCCACAGATAATCATATGGCCCAATGCCTGCTTCATTTAGGTCCCTACTTAGATATTGCTTTCTCAGAGAGGCCTTTTCTGATCATGTTACTGAAATTGCACCCATCTCTCACTATTTCTCCTTAACCCTGCTTTATTATTCATTACTGTACTTTCATTACCTGACATCATATACTTTTTATTTTTTTACTACCTTACTCATCCACTGGAATGTAAACTATATGAGGGCAGAAACCATGTCTGTTTTACTCATCTGTGTGTCCCCAGAGGTTCATAGTAAGCACTCAAGAAATATAACAGGGTATAACTTTTAAGCTTCCTATGAAATGATAATCTGTTTGAACACGTTTAGTGCCAGGAAGCTCGCTATCTTTCTTGAGGACATTTTTTCAGATTTGGTTTGTTTTAATTGTTAACTTTTTTTTTTTTAATATGTTTTGAAGTGAAATCTACCTATATAGCTTCTATCATTTTCTGCTTCTGGGATGATAATGAAGAGATTTAGTATCTATTTATGCCTGACAGACCTTCAGGTAAATGAAGATAGTTATTCTTTCTCCTTTTTTTTGTTTTCTGGTCTGACCATACCTGTGACTTTGACTATTCCTCTTTAACATAACATGGTATCTAGTCCTCTCCTGTCCTCATCTGCCTTTTCTGGTTATGTTCTAGTTTGTCCCTTTTAAAAAGCATAGTGTCCAGTCCTGAGTGTTAATCTCTTAGTGATCAGCTTTAGGTTGAATAGATCTATCTACTCTTTACTTATATTAGTTCAGCCTCTGGTCAGTAAACTCTTTACCAACTGTATTGTCTTACTGATTCATATTGTCTTTGAAACTTCTAGTTCTTTTTTTTAACATGTGATTTTATTAAATTATTCCCCCCTAACATTTACTTGTTTTGAATTTTTTTGAGCTTAAGACATTCTATTTATTCCTTTTAAATCTCATAGTTAGATTTGGCTCATTGTTTCTGCTTAACAACTTTTTTTTTCAGTTCTAATTGTTATCTAGTATATTAATAAACTTTCTCAGTTTATTAACTTGAGGGGCCTGGGTCAGTGACCAAGCATTGTGTATACTACAAGAGGCTTTCGGTCAATATTTGGCTGTAGTTTCTCAAGTGGTTATAATTCCACATGTCTACTAATCTAACAAACTTCTTAAGAGAGAAATGAAGATCTTTTGGCATTTTTTGTTCTTTGTAAGTATATTTTGACTCCTATTGATCTGCTTTTTTTCAGCTTATCATTCATTGAAAAAAATGATCTATATTTTGACAAGTAATTTTTTTTATTTGGAAATGTGGACATTTGTTCATCTCCAGTTTTCTGGCAAGTCTTTTTTGTTCCATTATTTTAAAAATATTTACTCTGAACAGTTTAGCTATCTTACCTGAAAGTTAGGAAATTTGAACTCTGAGATATGTTGCTTTAAAATATTTATGAAGCCTTTAAAAAAGTATTTATATATTATCCTTGACCCTCTTCCTACATATTTCTTTAGTGAATACTAGACTATTACTTTGATAGAGGTCATCCTATGGACTCAGGTCCCTCTTGTTTATAGTTTTATTGGACATTTTCCAGAGCCCAGTATTCTAATGTCTTTAAGCCATGTGAAGTAAACTAAAATGTTATGGTAGCTCTGTGAACAGTTATTTACTTCCTATCTTTTTATTTCTTTTCTAAAATCTCAACTCTTAATTGGCACCAAAGTTGAAAATACTTCATGTGATCCAGGAAGTCTTGGGCTTCTTTTTATTTTATTTTTTTGGTGAGGAAGATGGCCCTGAGCTAACATCTATTGCCAGTCTTCCTCTTTTTGCTTGAGGAAGATTGTCCCTGAGCTAACATCTCTGCCAGTCTTCCTCTATTGTTTATATGTGGGAGCGGCACAGCATGGCTTGATGAGTGGTGTGTACGTCTGCGCCTGGGATCTGAACTCATGAACCCCGGGCCGCCAAAGTGGAGCGTGCGAACTTAGCCACTGTGCCACCGGACCAACCCCTTGGGCTTCTTTTTAATGCCATCAGTATCCCTGTGTGATCCTGGGGAGGCAGCTAGTAATTAGCTGGTTTAGTAAGACTAAGCGTTCTCTGTCATGCTTACTGTTCTAGTCATCTATTGCTGCATAACAAATGATTTCCAAATTTAGCAACCTACACCATTTATTATCTCACATAGTTTATGAGAGTCAAGAATCTGGAAGTGGCTTAACTTAGTGCTTCTGGCTTCTAGTCACGCATGAAGTAGTAGTTAAGCTGTTGTCAAGGGATGCAGTCATCTGAAGGTGTACTGGAGTTGGAGGATCTGCTTCCAGGAAGGCTCACTCACATGGCTATTGGCAAGAGGCCTCAGTTCGTCTCCGCTATTGGCAGAAGGCCTCAGTTCCTTGCCATCTGGACCGCTCCGTAGGGCTGCCTTATTCTTCCCAGGATGTGGCGGCTGGCTTCTTCCAGAGTGAATGATTCAAAAGAGAAGGATAAAAAGCAAATAGGAAGCTGTAGGTACCTTTTATGACCTAGTCTCTAAAGTTGCATATCATCATTTTCACTTTATTCTGTTCATTAGTGTGAGACACTTAGTCCAGCTCACATTCAAGGAGAAGAGAATTAGGCGCTACCTCTTGAAGGACATTTTAAAACACCCACACTTATTCATACCCCTCTGCTCAAAATACATACATTTTGGTTCTGTTCTCTAAGACTATCAATCGAATATTCAGTTGAAGCAGTAATTCTCATATAGTGAGTACGATTATAATCTTTGCAGACCTCTTTAAAAATGCATGTGCCTGGCCATTCCAGACCTACTGAATCTGAATCTAGGAATAAGACATGGCTGTCTGTGCTTTCAGAAATAAAAAGCCTGAGGTAATTCTCTTCTAAGTCCCCCTCCACACCTTAAGAACCATTGGTTTATGTTAATTATGGATACCATGTTTTACAGTGTTATTAAATAAGGGTAATTGGGTATATGTGGAAAAGTAAAATTTTCCTTTTGTAATTATCTTACATTTTACTGCAGAGGTTTTTCCAGTGGTAATTTCTTTCTGAAATTACCAATTTTGTATTTTAAGCCAGTTAGTGCTAAGCAATTGTATATTGTATTGCTTGAGAAATATGTTCTAGGAAGGAACTTAAATTCAATAGAACTTTAATTATTTTTGTCATGGAGGTGTTTTATGGGAAGTAAATTTTCTGCCAGTGTTATTTCCAATAAGCATTTTAGAAAATAACAGCCTAGAATGATGGGGGAATAAAAGCAAAACAAAAGAACAACAAAAAATTGTGTTGAACTTTGCATTTGTGCTTTTAAGCATTCATTACCAGCTACTGATGAAAATTAACTTTTTAATTCTTCTTTAATTATTTCTTGTCATTTGATGGTCAAGGCAATATCTAGATTTAGGAAGATTATGTGAGATTTCTGCAAGTTAACAGCTTTCTTTTTCTCTTTTAATTATCTTGGTAAGATTAAGACAGTTTAACAAGTATCTTTCCTTCTATCTTTCAGTTGGTAGTCCCTATTCCATTCTGTTTATACTAAGGGCATGTCAATAACAGATCTCCTTGGATGATCTGAGTTAAAGGTCATGTGATGCTGTAATCATGTAGTTAGGTGAAGGAGCAAGTCCCAGGTTAATTCTCTTGACACTCAATTCTTTCATTAAAATTTTTTTTTAATTAAAATAATTTGGAAATTTAACATATATTTGTCTTTTCCTTCTTTTAGTTGATTACAGACATAGTGAAACCAGTGCAACAGCTCTAATGGTTGCTGCAGGACGAGGTTTTTCAAGTCAAGTAGAGCAGTTAATTAGCATGGGAGCCAATGTCCATAGTAAAGCATCAAATGGCTGGTAATTCTAAACTGTGTCCATTTTTTGTATATCTTTGTAGAACTACACATATGTTTTGATTTCTTATATTTGTCTCTATATTAAAAGCTACGGTGTGATAATTGCTGGTATATCTCTAATGGGTGAATGAGTAATTTTGAGTGACTAGTTTTATAATTTTGAGGACATTGTTTCTCCGTCTTAATTTGATATCTTTGAATTTTGGCAGGATGGCTTTAGATTGGGCTAAACACTTTGGACAGACTGAAATTGTGGATCTTCTAGAATCTTACAGGTAAAACTTTATACTATGTTTTATCAATCCTAACTCCTTTTTAGAAAGCTTAGCCATGTAAATCATAGAATGTGACAAATGTAGGCTGTTTATAGTCTCTTATCCAGAGATTTTTTTTTTTGTAATTCTAAGGAATTTTTCTAATTTTTTTATAGGTTGCTAATAAGATCCATTGTATTATAATATTTGCCTTATTTTTTATTTTATTTTGAAAAAGCATAAGGGGAATTTGCAGTTAAACCTGGTAGATACAACACATGTATTTTTCTGTGCATTTTCCCAAAACCTCACTAAAATGAAAAGGAAGGAATATTAAAATGTGTAAACTAACAAAGTCAAAGAGAATAGAAGAGGACATGGCAACTGATGGAAGATATTAGTAAATTTTTAGATGATAGATGGCTAATGGATCAGTGGTGTTTGATTTAGCAGAGCTAGAAAACTGCAACCTGAGTGTCGGCAGAGGGAAGTGCCAATGAGAAACTTATTTCAGCTTTGGAATTTATTAGAGCTCATTCAACTACTTCTGAATGAAGCAATGAAAGAAGGGGCTAAAAATATAACAGAATTAGTTGAAATTCTCTATGAGGAACATTTAGAATTCCAGATTCCCTTCTTCCCTGCCACTAGGTGATATCCCTTCCCTACCTTGGCAGGAAGTGGGAGATTTATTAAAAAATTAAGCCATGGAGGCTTTGGACTGGCATTACCAGGCACAGTGATAGAGTGGGAATGAGGTGTCAGAGAGGAAGGGGGTTTAAGTGAAAGTCTACTTAAAGGCTGAAAGTTGAGATACCATCCACTCCCTTCCCCTACTGGCTCTGTCACCTTTTCCTTTTTGAAGCTTGTTTTATGTTCTTTGGCAGAAAACTTGAGAATCCTTTCCTGGAAAAATAGACCAAGCCTAGAGAAAAGAATTAGAGTTATAGAAGGTTTTGTATTTCTTCAATGAAATGACCATCTTTAAACCAGATAGCTCAACAGTCTCCACTGTGTATGTGGAGTTTTTTTGTTCTTTACCTTTTAAAAATGAACAAACAGCCAAGGATTGATCACCAGGTGTTTGAGGGGGAAAAAGCACCCACAAATCAAACAAGCAACAAAATCAACAAAAAAACCTGGAACTTGGATGAAACTAAGCGTGAGTGATCAGAAGAAAACTTCAAAAACAGTAATAGAAGATATTCATGAGACAAAAACAGAGTACTGTTAATAAAGGAACAGAACATAAATCTTTGTTCAGATTTCATGGTTATGAAGGCTACCCAAGTTTACCCTATCTGCTATTATAATCTGCCTCCTTGTGCTATTGATCCTCCTTAACGTGTTCTTTTTCTTTTGTCCATGGGACCTACCACTCTCTGATAAACTATATAATTTACTTACTTACTATATTCCTTGGTTTATTATCTGTCTCTTCTCTCTATTAGAATTTAGCAAGCTACTTCTGTCCTTTGTTCAAGGACAGTTCCTGAATATGGTAGATGTTCAGTGAATATTTGTTGAATGAATTAATAAGAAAGAGCTCTTATAAATTAAAAATATGATAGAAAAAAATTCAGAAGGGTTGCAAGATAAAGTTGGGAAAGTTGCTCACTTAGTAGGAAAAAAGGACAAAGGATGAAAAATTGTAGAGAAAAGATAAGAAAATTTATTTTATGTGTGCCCTTTATGAGGAAACTGTTAGAGAATGTGCTCCACAAATATCAGAAAGTAAAATAAAACAGAGAAAAACATAGTAGATCCAGCATAGAAGATAAGTGAAAGAAGTGCTCAGTATGTTGGTGCAGAGGAGTGTTAACTGTGACATCTGCCCAGTAGGCCTAGTCTCATGGAAACAGAAGATGGAGAGCTCCAGGAAGGAAGTCCCTGGGGAGACTGGGGGGAGGGAGATTACTTGATGTTTTCGACCTTATTAAAAAGGCTTTATGAATCTATTTGAGACTTTGGGAACAATTTGTGATAAGTACACAGAACAGCAAGCAAATAACAATTAGACAGTAATTACTCAGAAAAACCCAAAAAGTTGTAGAGGAAAGGAAGTGTAATCATAGTTCACTCTATGGCTCATGGTAAATAATGTTTACATAGTTATAGTGAAGTAAAGGCTGAATGAATAGTTAACAAAAATTGTATGGATTGGTGTGGTTGGTGACTATATGAGGGTGGAGGTGGTGACTTCATTTTTGGTTAATTGGAGGTTCACAAATAATGACTAAATTGTTAAATCAGTAAAGATACACTTAGAAATGTGGAAGTAAAAACCAAGAGAACTGGCTGAAAGAATTGAAAAAAGCCCTAAGCACTGTGACTAGGAATGGAGAGAGGTTTTTGTTATAACGTTCATAAAACCATTTGTTTGTTAACACAATGTTCATGTGTTATTCATTTAAAAAAAAGAGTCAGAAGGGCAATACTTTAAAAATCCTATGAAACTAATCCTTCTTTTAGATAATTAAAGATTTTAGGTACATTTAGATAGATATTTAGGTAGATTATGTAGATTTTAGATTAGATATTTAAAGAAAAGAAAAAAGATATTTAAAGGAAAAAGGTAAAATGTATTTTGTAATATATTGATAGCTTCTGTTTTCAACCTATAAGAGTCTCAAAAAAGAAAAAAATGGAGTCTGAAGTTAAAATATATTAAAACATCTATTATTCAGGAAGATATAAAATATTTTATTTGACTTGGGTTTTCGTTTTTAATTCTATATAGTGTCAGACATTAGATGAAGTAAATGTTTGAAGTATGAAGTTAGTTTTGTCACTTTAATTTCATTAAATGGTAGCGTAGGTTACAGAATCTCAAAGTTCTTGCCAGATCCAAATGCTAATTCTAGTATGTTGTCATTTCAATAATAGCTCCCAGAACTTGGCAATCCTTTTAGTGCTAACACTTTGAATGTTCAAGAGATTCTTTAAGTTTAGTTCACTAGACACTACAGATTACCAGGTAAAGCAATTATCTGGATAATATTTTAATCATGCTGGCTAACTGGGCTTTCTTTTTATTCTGTAGACACTGACATTATCAATTATAAATTTTAAATATTTAAAATTAAATTTATTATTATGTTTGCTGGATTATTGATAATTGATATCTAAAGTTTATAGCTTTAAACAAAGAACATAATACCCTCTTCATTTACCTGTTAAAAAGTAAGGAAACAAAATACTTGGAATGTTTTAAAATGGATCTTAAAATTTAAAATACTACAAAGTTGTATAAGTTAAATATTTTCCCTGTTGAAAGCAGTCTTATGTTATTTTTCTGCTAAGCTCTTTAAGAGAGATTGGGCTGCACTGAACTTCCTAGAAATCTTATTAATAATTATTAGTGATGGCAGTGGTTTATATTTTTACACACAAGATGAAGCAAGGCATTTATTTCAGTAATTTATGCTGATTCCAAACTTTTGGAAAACAGCATAATCAACCTGCTTTTAGTATAGAAGTACCAAATTAACAGTCATGTTGAACTGGTTCCTGTAGAGTTTTTTTTTTTAATGTGGACTTTTCTTCAGAGTATTGTTTATAATAGTGAACAATTAGAAAGTCTATTAAGAAATATAAATGATGATCAAAGTTTGTTTTTAAAATTTTATTGAGATAAAATTCACATACCGTGTAATTCACTCATTTAAGTGTACAATTCAGTAGTTTTTAGTATGTTCAACGTGTTATACACTCATCACCACAGTCAATTTTGAGAACATTTTCATCACCCTAAAAAGAAACCTGTACTCACCAGCAGTCATTCCTCCTTTCCTCTAACTCTCCCAGCCCTAGGTAACCACTAGTCTACTTCCTGTTTTTATAGATTTGTCTCTTCTGGACATTTCATATAAATGGAATCATATAATATGTAGCCTTTGTGATTGGCTTATTTCATTAGCATAATGCTTTCAAGGTTCATCCATGTTGTAGCATCCTTTTTCTGACTAAGTAATATTCCATTCTATGGAAAGACCACAGTTTGTTTATCCATTCATCAATTGATGAACATTTGGGTTGTTTCCATTTTTTGACTGTTATGAATAATACTGTATGAACATTTGTGTATACAGATTTTTGTGTGAACATATATTTTCATTTCTCTTGTATATATATCTAGGAGTCAAATTGCTGGGGTATAGGGTAACACTGTGTTTAACATTTTGAGGAACTGCCACGTTGTTTCCCAAAGTTGCTGCACCATTTTATGTTCCCACCAGCAATGTCTGAGGGTTCCAGTTTCTCTACACCTTCTCTAACATTTATTATTATCTGTCTTGTCAATTATAGTCATCTTAGTGGGTGTTAAGTGGTATCTCATTGAGATTTTGATTTTCATTTCTCCAATGACTAATAATGTTGAACATTTTTTCATTTGCTTGTTGGCAATTGGTATATTTTCTTTGGAGATGTCTTCAGATTGTGTTTTTTATAAAGCACTTATTGCCAAATTTTACTTTGGATAACGTACTTGAAACCAAAACATGAATTATATTATAGCTAGGACATTAAGTATCACTTACCCTCCTTGGGGTATATTGAAAATTTGAAGAAGGATGTAATGGGAATCATTGGCCTTTAAGGGTTACTCTTTTTAATGAAAAATGACTTGGTTTTTTTTTTTTAGTGCTTCGTTGGAATTTGGAAATCTGGATGAAAGTTCTCTGGTTCAAACAAATGGAAGTGACCTCAGTGCAGAAGACAGAGAGCTCCTGAAAGCTTATCATCATAGTTTTGATGATGAAAAAGTAGATTTGGATTTGATCATGCATCTTCTATACAATATCTGCCATAGTTGTGATGCTGGTAAATAAGTATTATCTAAAACTGGAACAAAAATGTATACTTTGATTTAAAAATTAATATTTTGTGTGTACAAATTTTTATATAATTCTATTGATAATAAAGCATAAATAATCTCTTAAGTGTCATCATGTATTACAGTTTATCAGTACTTGAAAACGTGATGTAGTCATTATAGCTAGTTATGTTGATTGATTCTGCTTTTACAATGAGATTTAATATTAAAAAAATCATTCTTCTCCGAGGTGCAATATTAATTTTCCTACCTGGATATGATGAAATAGTTGGACTGAGGGATCGCATCCTGTTTGATGACAAGCGGTTTGCTGACAATACACATAGGTAAGAGCTAAAGCTTTATATTTGTTGCTTTAAATAACAGATGGGTACCATAGTATATTTTCTCTATCAATTGTCAACAGATATCAAGTCTTTATGCTTCATTCAAATATGCAAACATCTGATCAAAAGAAGGTATTGAAAAACCCGCCTGCAGGTGTTCGAAAAATAGTAAGCTTCAGAAAATCTTCTTTTTTCCATTTTATTAGTCATTGATTCTATTTTCTTATTAACTATAACATAATATCCCATTGCAGATCCTTTCCACCAATATTGCTGAAACCAGTATCACAGTCAATGACGTTGTCTTTGTTATTGATTCTGGTAAGGTGAAAGAGGTATGTAAGGATAAGTTGTGTTTTCACTTAAATGAGGGAGGTTAAGTGCCATTCCAATAAATGCTTTTATAACCAGAATTCACTTTAATGGGAAAATTTCTGGTTATAGATGAATTTAACATAGTAAATGTTAATTTCACTAACGTGACTATTCTACCTTAAACAATTCAGTATATAGGATCTATCTTGTTATTTTAAAAAATTATACAAAACATTTAGCTTCTGCTCAGTAAATGCTAGGAAGAAACTAAAGGGTTTGGCAGTTATAGTGAGAATTTTATCAAGCAGTGTGGGAATTTGATTACATATTTTATATGTTTTCTTACCTGTGGGCATGGACCATGTCCCTCTTGTTCGTTGTTATATCTTCAGTCCTCCACATATAGTAGGTATTCAAAAGATATTTATTTCAAGAGAACCTTGGTGAGAGAAAGCAAACATAAAACCAGGGTTCAGCAAATGATAGTTAGCAGCCAAATTGGGCCCATCACCTGCTTTTATAAAAATAAATTTCACTGGCTCACTGCCATGTCCACTTTTTTGCTTATTGTTTGTGCTGCTTTCAACATTGCAATGGAAGATTTGAGTAGTTGCAACAAAGATCCTCTGCAAAGGCTAATAAAATATTTACTGCCGCCCCCTGATATAAGTAAGAGGCAATGTTTATTTCTTTTTAGTATTGGAATGTCCAGCAATTCTTGTTACCCTTGACTTTGGTAGATCCTTTCACTGAAAGAATTGAAAGTGACAGAAGTAGTTGATTTTTCAAAGAAAGAAATACTGTCCATGTTGTGGAAAGCAAATTATGACTGTTCTAGTGGATATAAACGATCATTTCTAATGTGAAAAAATTGTTAGTTACAAAATATTTTCAATGTGGTTTTTAGGAATTTCTTACAGAAAATACAATTTTATTATAAAATGTGGACATTTTATTATAGTTGGATACTGTAAAGGAGGGATAAATTTCATTTTTTGGTAAGAGGATAATGACGAATATCATCACTAAGTCTGAAGTGAGTCAATGAAAATTCAGATTTTATTGCACTAAAATTATCTAAAGCTGATGAAGTCAATTTTGAATATTTTAGAAATTAATTCCTTTAGGTGTTATTTATCAAGTAAATCATGGTTTAGAACATGATGGTAGTGTCAAGTTATTTTACATACAAAATTGGCTAATGTAACATTTTATTAAAAACTAAATAAACAGCATCTTTGCTAAAAATCCCATAATTAACTATTATGAGAAGACATTTGTATTTTCTCTATGTAATTATTTTATGAAAGGGTAAGTATAAGTCACTGAATGATTGAAGTATATATTCTAGTTAGGGATGCATTCTTTTAAAATATTTCTCTGTAGTAAATTTTCACTTTAGATTCTTTGAGGAAATATGAGGGTAGTAATAGTTCTTTTTTACTTTCTCTTTTTGTAACATTCTGGATAGACTAACTGCGTTAGTGGCTCGGCAGGAGGTAAAATGGATGGGGTTAAAAATCTGGGATAGGTTTGGGATAGATTTAATTCAGCAATTGTTGTTATTCTTATTCCTCTGGATCAGCTCCCTGGAAAGTATTTCAGAAACTGTCTTTTGCCGATCACTCCTATTCCCCACAATGATGTAAATCTTATAGAAGGTGACCTCAAGAGAACAGATCAGTTCTCTCTAATCTTGGTGCCTTATGAGAACTGACTGCCATTATCCAGCTGTAGCAGAGAGAAAAAAATAGCTCAGCAAGGCATAGAATGAGGAAGTTTTACAGCTCTTCTGAGTTTAGTTTTCAGTCTTTTCTCTTAGAATGATTGTAACCAGAAATCTGGGTTTTTTTAAATCAACACTCTGTTTAATTATCTAATCAAGAGAGGCTTTTTATTATCCTTGGCATGTTAAAATATATTCATAATGTTTCTTGCTATTTCTTTTTAAATGCCTTTTATGTATTAACATAAAGATGATTTAAATATTACAGAAATCCTTTGATGCACTGAATTTTGTTACAATGTTAAAAATGGTGTGGATTTCCAAAGCTAGTGCCATACAACGAAAAGGCAGGTAATGTATATTTAGTGTACATTCATTCAATTGCCTGTAAAATGGAAACATTTTCATTTGTATTACATATTTAATGTATATTCCACTTTTTACAAAATGCTAAAATTTTCATGTTAGTCTTAATTTTTATATAATTTTTGCAAAGTAAACATAATACTTTTTTAAAAGTCAAATTCAGTTATGTTAAAATTAAAAAATTTTGCCTAGAATAATTTACACACAGAAGACGTAAGAAACTTAAAAAATAAAAATAAAAGCAAAAATTCTAAACATTTGCAATACAGGACAAAGGACTACTTTCTGTATTATACAAAAAAGCTTTTTAAAATTAATAAAAATCAATGCATTAACCTCACATATACCACTTCATATATACCAAAAGAAGTACAAATTAATGAGATACTATTTTTTGCTTATCAGAGTGGCGTTGATGAAAATGTTTAACAGTACACACAACAGAGTTGGCAAAAGCATGGGCCAATAGGCTTTCATAGTTTGTTGATGGAAGTATAAATCGGTATGACTTCTTTAGAGGGCAATTTGAACCTGTTCATTCAAGTCTACCCTTTGAAAGTGGATTCCACTTCTTATAATTTATCCTGAGTATGCTTGCACATGTGTGCAAAGATGTATGTTTAAGAATGTTTTTTGCAGTGTTGTTTGTTATAGTGAAAAGTCTGGGAACACTGCAGTGTCCATCAATAGTGAAGTGGTTAAATAAATTGTGTTTTAGCCACACAATGGTATACTAGGTAACTGTTAAAAGGAAAGATGTAGATGTATGTGTTTTTATGTGGGATGAGTTTTCAGACAATATTATTAATTGGAAAAAGTAAGGTATAGAACATGTGTCTAGTAGTCTCTTGTGCTAAAAAATACATGTATATGTTTGTGTGTCTATATATATATATAGACACAAATACATTGTTAAGTCTGAGAGAAACATTAAAAAACAACTGTTGACTCTGTGAATGAGGATTTATGGAGCTCTTGAAGGAAGGAGACTTAATTTTCGTTTTATATTTTTTTGTAGTTCGGTTATTTATTTTAGTACATGCATTACTTTTTCATTTTTAAAAGGGCAAGATTAAAGAGTATCATATTTTTCATTAATTATTTGACTAATTTTTCTTGCATTTTAACTAATAGGAAAACACTGAATACTGACTTTAAAAGAATGCCTCATATGCTGAAGACGGTGAATGCATTATTTCTGTACTTTGTAACTTCATGTAATGCCCTTGAGGGCTTTGTTGTTATTGTATCAATTGTCTTTTTATGACAAAGTGTGGCTTGACATATTGAGTTGTACTTATATACTGTTAATAGTATATTATTAGGGCTAAAAATCAGAAATTGTAGAAATTTCCATTGTCATCTTTCTCAACAAATATTTTTTGACAGCCTTCACTGTGCAAGTGTTAGGGATACAATGATGAATAAACTATAGTCTGATGGATCAAGTCTGAAGTGGGTGGAATGTTGCCACCCATTTAGGAGTCCAATAAAACAGTTTTTTTTTTCTGTGCTACAACTGGATAATGCTTCTAGAGGAGTTAAGATAGAATCTGAGATAAATATGAATAAAGAGGTGTTGTGGAAAGGCATTTCTGGCAGAGGGAAAGCATACACAAAGGCCGAAAGGCAAGAATGAGCAGAAAATTGTTTGGGTGAAGTTTAGTTTAGAGGAGAATAGTGAAAAATGAGTGGAAAGAGGTAAGTTGCAGACAGGTCTCTTTCTTTTTTCTCTTTCTCTGTTTTTTTTTTTTTTTTCCTTGATAAACCAGGGGATGGCATGATTATGGTTTTCTTTCAGCTCTTTGAAGAATGAATTTGGTAGAGACAAAAATGATGGTAGGAGGACCCAGCAGGAAGCTGTTTTATTAATACTTCCATTTACAATAAGGAAGAGATGAGAGTTGCCTGGATTGTTATAGTGGTGGTAGAAATAAAGAGAAATTGATAATTAATTCAACAGATATTAAGGAGAGTAATATTGGTGATCTTATGTCCTGGGGTGAGGGGTAGGGAATAGAGTGATGTCAGTCAGGTTTCTGTCTTAGAAAATTTTGTGGATGGTAGTGCCATTGTCAGATAGGGAAAATGGGAATAGTGGTTATATTGGGGAGAAGAATTGACTTTTGGTTGTGTTGAGTTTGAGTTGACCGTGGAAAATCCAAGTGGAGCTAAGAGGCTTCTGAAGTATAGGTCTAGAATTAGGATAAGGAGATCTAGAAGGTTGGAAATTGAAGTCAGGAGGATAATTAAGATCACCTTGGGAGAGAGGGTAGAGTAAGGAGAGCAGAGGGCTGAGGTCCAAACTCATGAGAACATCCAACATTTAAGGTCTGGGCAAAGATAGAAATCGCTCAGAGGAGGCTGGATAGGTGGGAAAGCTGATGGGTATATAGTGAGGGAAGTATTTGATGAAAGAATGGCCCAACAATGTCAAATTTTGTAACTCGTATCACATTATGTTATAGTTATGTTTGGGGCTCTGGATGTGAACTTTGTGAGGATAGGGATTTTCTCTATCTCTATCACTTAGCATATTCAGCCTTGCTATTAGTTCATATAGTGACTTTGGGTAAAATTAAAAGACTGCTTTTCCTCAAGATATTTTTCTACAACTTCCCAAAAGATATACAAGTCTCTATGATGATGAAGTAAATGATACTCCCTTGGAGTTGTGTAATACATAATTTGCACAACTCTAATCAGTGGGCCTGAACTCAGTGCTTGGTATCAGCTCAGTAAGTTGATTAAATTTAAATTACCATATACTTATTCATGCTTTATTTTTTACTTACTTTCGTATGTATGTTTTTTTTTTTTATTTTTACCATTACCTTAGAAGGTATATCAGGTAGGTGTCATTTATGAATCTCACTTTATAAAGGAGAAAATTGAGTTCGGGACAAGTGAAGTATCTTCTGAAAGGATTTACAGGGGTAAGAATCAGAGTAGGGATTCAAACTCAGATGTCCTGATCCTAGTTCATTGTCTCCTAAATCACATTGCTTTTTTACAGTTTCCTTATTATAGTCTTTATGGCTTCTTTGAGTCTTAATTTTGTATTTTACTGTTAAGGGCAGGGCGATGTAGACCTGGAATTTGTTTCCGGCTGTTCAGTAGACTCCGATTCCAGAATATGTTGGAATTTCAGACTCCAGAACTTTTGAGAATGCCATTACAGGTAGAAATTTATTTAACTCTAAAAGGCTGTTTTTGTGGGTGAGAGAAGAGAGGGGCCATTTCAACTTATACTGATTGAACTGTTAATTAATTTATAAGACAAAATTATGAAATATATATTATGGAAGGTAGTTATATATATAACTAACATTTTTTTCTATACAAGAAAATTTAATCCATAAACCTTCAAAATTTTAATGAATTACTTGAGTGCATTTAAATTATGGTACAGTTTATAAGTATATTGTTATTTTTTATGCAGCATTCTAAGAATCTATTAACCACATAGTGTTCACCTTTTACGTTCTCAATGAGGAGTGGAAACAAATTATTTAAGGTCCAAAGTCTCAGTTTAATATACTGAAATTACTTGGGTAGTTTTGGAACTGAATTTATTAAGATTTCCTGGCCTTTATTGTTTTCGTTTAGATTTTCTGACTTCCTGGAACAGCCAGACACTGTAGTTTCTAGGGAAAACCACTAGAAGTACATTAATTTGGTTAGGTGCTGGCTTCCAAACCTTTAAAGAGACACTGGATCATGTTTTTTGGCATCTGCGTATCTAGATGACTTCCCACTTCCCCATCCTATGTGCCATTTTCTGTTCCTCTTAGGATAAAACACAAAATTCTTAAGAGCCTAAATGATCTCTTCTGCTTCTGTCTCCAGTTTTAAATTTTTTTTTTTTGGGGGGTGAGGAAGATTGGCCCTGAGCCAACATCTGTTGCCAATCTTCCTTTTTTCGCTTGAGGAAGATTGTCGCTGAGCTAACCTCTGTGCCAATCTTCCTCTATTTTATATGTGGGATGCCACCACAGCATGGCTTGACAGTGTGTAGATCCGCACCTGGGATCTGAACCCACGAACCCTGGGCCGCCGAAGCGGAGCGCACGAACTTAACCCCTACACCACCGGGCCAGCCCCAACTAGTTTTAATTTTTTGATTCTTGCCTTTCCTCCCCTCTCTACTCATACCAGTAGTTTCAATTTCTCAAGCATATCTTGTTTCTTTCTATTTTAGGGCCTTCATATGTACCATCCTCTCTCCCTAAAGTCCTCCCCCTTATTCCTTGTGTAGTTAACTCCTGCTCAATCTTTACATCTTAAAGTGTCATTTCCTCAGAGAAATTGCCTTTGACTTCCCATAGCCTCCTTCTCTTTCCTTAACTTGATTAAATCTTTTGTTTTGCCTCTTTAGCTCCCTGTATCCTTCATAGCACTTGTCACAATTGTAATTAAGTAATTATATAATTATTCTGTTTTTCAACACAATGGAAACTCCATAGAGCAGACACTTGTCTGCCTGTCTTCTTCTTTTTCTCCAACTTGCTGCGCAGTGCCTAGCACCTAGTAAGCACTTAAATATTTGTTGAATAGATAGAAGATTCTAGAATGTAAAATAAAGAAAAGAAAAGGTTTTTTTGAACAGTAACTCTTGTTGTTATGGATAAGAACTGTGTGATGAGACATTGCCAGTTGGGGCAAGATAACCTTGATATGAGTTGATGGAGGGTGTTTATTAAGGTTGTGGCACATAGGGCAAAGTATGAGCCCATCTTTCATAGAAAGACATTGTTCCCTCTACCATTCATTTTAATCAGAGACACTACTAGTCTGTATTTGGGAACTATAGTTCCCATGATTTCTATAAAAATAAAAATTATTATTTCAATATTTCAAAATTATTTGCTGTTTTTATTTACAGGAACTTTGTTTACATACCAAGCTGTTAGCCCCAGTTAATTGTCCTATCGCTGATTTCCTTATGAAAGCTCCTGAGCCTCCACCAGCTTTAATTGTAAGAAATGCTATACAAATGCTTAAGGTTGGTATCTTAACAGTTTTATTTTTACCTATTTTACTTGAAATGTAAACCAAATGAGAATACATGTTAACTAATTTTGTACTTAAAAAAATTATCTTAAATAATCATGTACTTTGAGTGATGCTCTCATGTAATTAGAGTAAAATAGTAGGTATAGTTCTTTTTTATATAGTTGAAGCAAAATATATTTTTTATGAGATATAGTAGCAAAAGAAAATTTATATTCTTATTTCTTACTTATGGGTTTTTAAGTGTGTGGTTTGGTTAAACATAAATTTTGGTCAGGTCACATTCTGTTTTGTATGCTTTTATTTAGACAATAGATGCAATGGATGCATGGGAAGATCTCACTGAACTTGGATATCATTTGGCCGACTTGCCAGTAGAACCCCATCTTGGTAAAATGGTGCTGTGTGCTGTTGTTTTGAAGTGTCTGGACCCCATCCTTACAATTGCCTGCACACTAGCCTATCGAGATCCTTTTGTCCTGCCAACCCAGGCCTCTCAAAAACGTGCAGCTATGCTTTGTAGGAAACGTTTTACTGCAGGAACTTTCAGTGACCATATGGCGCTTCTCAGAGCATTCCAGGTACTGCTGTTATCACTTTATTTCTGAAAATGTTGCTGGTTAAACACATTTCTGGGGCAAGTATAACAAATTAAAAAAATAGATAGGATTCCACTAATTTTGTTATTATAAACTCACATTTTATTAATAGCCCAGAAAAATAACTTCTTATATGTTAAAATTATCACAGTTTTTCTCTACTTTCTTTTCTTTTCTTTTCTCAATTTTCTCTTGGTAGGAATATATGTATGTATGTATGTCTATATTTATTTATACTTGTATTTATTTTTTAATAAATAAATTTCTTATCTTTCTTACATTTCAGTCATATCTTGGCAAGGAATGCTCTAAAATTTTAGTTAAGCAACATTGTATATTATTCAAAGTATATAGAACAAAGCTTGGAAGAAAATTATCTTGAATTTAATGTATAATTGTTGATTTTTAGAGTACATCTTTTTCTTGTGTGCTCAAGACACTATGCTAAGAACTTAATTTTATAAAACAAATTCCAAAAATCACTTAACAGCCTTTTAAGATAATGGTAGTGAGTAATTGAGGAAAGTGATAAATGGGAAAGAAAAGATAAGGAAAGTGGGACTCTGAGGAAGGGAAATGATATATAATTTAGAAATTCAGCTATGTGGGGAAGAATATGTTATTTCTTGAAAAAGTAGATATGTTATTTATCCTTAAATTCTCTTGAATGTAGGCTGTGCCTATAATTTTTTTTAAAATTTCATTTTGTTTATGCAGAAAGTACTCTTTTTCAGGCATACAGGAATTTTCTCATGCATACAATTTTAAAAAGATATTTGCACACTCTTTTGTGAGCATTATTGAACAATGGATGATGCATTGGTATTAATTGAGTCTGTTAGATACCATATATTACAGTAGATCAGTTGAGTGATAATAATTAGAGGGAGATTTGGAGTAGAATTCCTATCTCTTCTTTGCATTTTCCCCAGCTCCTTCAAAAGCAGAAAGGATAAATTACTGCTTTTGGCTTTCAGTTATATTCCAAAACAAGAAATCTCATTTTCAAAGAGGAGCTTTCTTATACTGCATATAGATGGTTTCTGGAAATCCCACTTTCCATTCTCAGACAGATTAGGAGGTTGGTATAGAGGTTATTTTTGGAGGACTGGAGTGGCAGAATTCTTAGATATAAATGGTGCTATGGTGGCTTAGTTGAAAACCTGCCACACTTTGGAGGAGGAAAATTAGCAGACATATCTGTAAAGGTAAATATTTTTACATAGCTGGTCATTTAGGTTACCTGATACTTGTTTCTCACTGGGATTTTATAAACTCAATGGCTTTCATAGCATTTGGGTATAAATTAACTAATGATAAATTTTATTTGATCATAAAGTCTTAGATTTCATTTTTTATATTTAATTTTTAACTTTATTTTTTAATGTAATTGACATATAGTATTATATTAGTTTCAGGTGAACAACATAATGATATAGTATTTGTATATGTTGCAAAATGATAACTGCAGTAAGTCTAGGTAACATCTATCACCACACACAGTTACAAATTTTTTCCTCTCATGATGAGGACTTTTTAAGATCTACTCTTGAGTCTGTTAACTAGACTTACTGTGGTGACCATTTCACAACATATACAAGTGTCAAATCACTATGTTGTATACCTGAAACTAATATAATGTTATATGTCAATTATATCTCAATAAAAAAATAAAAGTTTATTAAAAAAAAGATCTCAGCAACTTTCAAATATACAATACAGAGTTATTAACTACAGTGGCCATGCTGAACATTACATCCCTAGGGCTTGTTTATTTTATAACTGGAAGTTTTTATCTTTTGACCACCTTTACCCATTACACCCACTCACCACCCTCCACCTCTGGCAGCCACCAGTCTGTTCTCTCTATGAGTTTGCTTTTTTTTTTTAATATAGTCTTAGATTTTATGAAATAGTTAGAAGAAAGAGAATTGACCTTGAGTGGTTAATGCAGTGATTTGCAGTTACTTTGTTGCTTAAGTAAGAAGTAATTGGTAAATGTATCTTGTTATATAATGATATTTTTACAGGCATGGCAGAAAGCACGAAGTGATGGGTGGGAGCGAGCCTTTTGTGAAAAGAATTTTCTTTCACAAGCTACCATGGAAATAATCATAGGCATGAGAACCCAGTTACTTGGTCAACTTAGAGCATCAGGTAAAGTTTTCCCCCAAAGAACCTATTTAAACCACTAAGAGTACCCTGCCCATACCTCATCGTTTTCTAGTATAAACTGATGCCATCTCATATTATTTTAAAGACGTTATTACATTGTTGTATATCTTATATTCATGAACTGCTTTGTAGACATCTTTGTGACCTCAACTTTTTTTTGATTAAAAAAAATGATATTGCAGAAGCTGTAGTTGAGAAATATATGAATACCTTTTGGTACTGTCGACAATAAGCAATTTATGATATATTTGTTGGCAAAAATCAGTTTAGATATTGTAGTTATATTTTGTCACTATTAACAAACAATTATTTAGCTCTATGAAACAGAAATTATAAAAATTTGCATAGATTGGTACGAATGCTGGTCTTCTTAGTTTTGGAACATAAATAGTAATCTCTTGAAGGCACTTGATTTTTTTTTTTTTCTTAAAGAGAATGCCAGTGTTGCTATTTCATTTTAGAATTGCTTCTTTGAATTTCTTTTTGAGTAGCACAGTACATTGAAGAAATAGAAATAAGTACCAGAGCCTTGATTCACGGATTAGCTGACGTGTCAGAGTAATATAAGGAATGAACCAGAGGATTTAGAGTTGTCTCAAATATGGGGAAATATGAAGGACTTCAGTTCAAGCAAGAATAATCTATATTTACTTGACTTCACTTCCATAACTAGTGTCTGTCATACCCAAAATGTTGGGCCGGCCCCGTGGCTTAGCGGTTAAGTGCGCGCGCTCCGATGCTGGCGGCCAGGGTTCGGATCCCGGGCGCGCACCGATGCACCGCTTCTCCGGCCATGCTGAGGCCGTGTCCCACGTACAGCAACTAGAAGGATGTGCAACTATGACATACAACTATCTACTGGGGCTTTGGGGGAAGTAAATAAATAAATGTAAAAAAAAAAAAATAACCAAAATGTTATTAATACCAGTCAGAAGAATGGGTTAGGTTTTCAGCTATGATTTTAGTATGTTTCTTTTTTTAAAAATTTTACATCTATTTTATTTAACTCATATCTAAAGTGTTATCATTTTAACATATAATCAATATAAAACATTATTAATGTGATATTTTATGTTTTCTTGTACTAAGTCTTTGAAATCCAGAGGGTATTTTGCATATAAGCATATCTCAATTAGGACTAGCTACGTTTCAAGTGCTCAGTAACCATGTGGGACTGATAGCTACTACATTAGATAGCATAGATCTATATAATTGGGAAAAGGGTTGTGGCGGTGGATAGAAACCTGATTCAAGCAGTCATAGTGATAACATTTATTGTTTTATTGAGGTAACATTGGTTTATAACATATAAATTTCAGGTGTACATCATTATATTTCGACTTCAGTATAGACTACATTGTGTTCCCCACCAAAAGTCTAGTTGCCACCCGTCACCATACACATGTGCCCCTTTTTAGTGCGTTTCTGATAGCAGCTTATGAAGAGCTTTGTAGCAAGAGTGTGTATTTTTTTAAGTCTCTAAGTCGCCAATGAATCTTCTACTCACTTTAGCCTGAGCAAACCTAAACTTCCTTAGAACATTGATTCTATATTTTAAACTTTCCAGAGATTTTCTTATTTATTGTGGAATTTGAATATCATTAAACTTGTGTGGGTTATACAATTTTTTGTAAAAAACAAAATTTTTTGTCTTTTTTTTATTGGTGTCAAAATAGTTTATAACATTGTGAAATTTCAGTTGTACATTATTATTTGTCAGTCACCATATATATGTGCCCCTTTACCCCTTATGCTCACCCCTCAATGCCCTTCCCCTCTGGTAACCACTAATCTGTTCTCTTTGTCCATGTATTTGTTTATCCTGCACAAATGAGTGAAATCATATGGTGTTTATCTTTCTGTGTCTGGCTTATCTCACTTAACATAATACCCTGAAGTTCCATCCATGTTGTTGCAAATGGGACGATTTTGTCTTTTTTATGGCTGAATAGTATTCCATTGTATATATACCACATCTTTGTTATACATTTATCAGTCGATGGGCACTTGGGTTGCTTCCCTGTCTTGGCTGTTGTGAATAATGCTGCAATGAACGTAGGGGTGCATAAGTCTCTTTGAATTGTTGATTTCAAGTTCTTTGGATAAATGCCCAGTGGTGGAATAGCTGGGTAATGTGGTATTTTGATATTTAATTTTCTGAGAAATCTCCATACTGTTTTCCATAGTGGCTGTACCAGTTTGCATTACCATCAACAGTGTATGAGGGTTCCCCTTTTCTCCACATCCTCTCCAACATTTGTTGTTTTTTGTCCTGATAATTATGGCCATTCTAATAGGTATAAGGTAATATCTCATGGTAGTTTTGATTTGCATTTCCCTGATGATTAGTGATGTTGAACACCTTTTCATGTGCCTATTGACCATCCATATATCTTCTTTGGAAAAATGTCTGTTTATATCTTCTGCCCATTGTTTGATCTGGTTGTTTGTTTTTTTATTGTTGAATTGTATGAGATCTTTATATATTTTGGAGATTAACCCCTTGTTGGATATATGATTTGCAGATATTTTCTCCCACTTGCAAAAAACACGAATTTAAAAGCATACTTTGCACAACAGAAAAAGTTGATGTGGTTTTTTTTCCTCTTTCTAGGTTTTGTTAGAGCACGAGGTGGTGGTGACATTCGAGATGTTAACACAAATTCCGAGAACTGGGCTGTCGTTAAAGCTGCATTGGTGGCAGGCATGTATCCTAATTTAGTCCATGTGGACAGAGAGAATGTAGTATTGACAGGGCCAAAGGAGAAAAAAGTACGGTTTCATCCCACTTCAGTTCTCAGTCAGCCTCAATATAAAAAGGTAAAACATTTTTAATGCTCTTAGGCCTTGAGGTAAAACTAATCTAATTGAGATAGTTGAAGATAAACAAAAAATGCTCCAAATACCGACCTGCTTTAAGAAATTAATTAGTTATATATGCATAATTCAACATTGGAACAAAATTTTGATTGAATCTTAGAGTCGGAAGAGGTAATGTGTTAAGTAATGAGGACTTTTATACAAACCACGTGAGCAATGACTTGCTTTAATTTTTGCTTGGGTACTAATATACATCATCTATTTCATTGAGGGACTTTTTACGTTTTAAAAGTATTGCCAGTAAATTAGGTGGTAAATACAGTTAACAATTTTTTGATTTATTTTCCTAATAGATTCCTCCAGCCAATGGTCAAGCTGCAGCAATTCAGGCGTTGCCCACAGATTGGCTTATTTATGATGAAATGACCAGAGCCCATAGAATAGCTAATATTAGATGTTGTTCAGCAGTGACACCTGTCACTGTATTGGTATTCTGTGGACCAGCTAGGTTGGCAAGTACTGCTCTTCAAGAACCTTCATCCTTTCGAGGTAAATGTATTATGGGAGAAATAAAAACCATTTGAAATGAATTTTTTTCTTTTTACTGAACCAAAGAA